TGGTTCGTTGTATACTTTATTGGGATCCACTGTTATAGGCCCTACTACAGTTTCGGTATCATACAATTTGTCTGATTTTGATGGCATTAAATTTTGACATATGCCCATTGGGGCTCTTGCGGAGAAGGTGGAGCAAATTTACTATATCAGCCAAAATTAGGCCAAGGTGGAGATTTATAATATGGCCAAATTTTCATGACATTTGCCATGACATAATATCTATTATAACAAATTTGTGGATCATGACATTTGTCATGACATAATATCCATTATTAGGCTAAGGATTTCTACTATAAATAGAGGAGTTTCTCCTCATTTGAAGACACACCAACAAGACTTGTCTTCAATTCTTGTTTCTTCCTTTCTTCCTTTATTAAGAGTGTTTTGTATGAGAGTTAAGTGTTGGGAAGCACTTGTGTGAACCCTTTCTTTGGAGTGATCTTGTGAGGTTATTCTCTTAGGGTATTTCGTATTAATTAGAGTGTTTACTCTAATTTTGTACTCTTATTGTTATAGTAAATTGCTCCTCTCCGCTTGTGGACGTAGGTCACTTTGACCGAACCACGTTAAATTTGTGTCTTCTTTATCTATTTTAATTGTTGTTGTTATCAACTTCCATTGTCTTTGTTATTGCCATTATATCGTTGTTTGGCTATATTCCGCACTACCCGGGTTCCCGATCCTAACATTATTAAACAAGTAATGTGTATCATAAAAATTTACATATAATTAAGCTTATAGATTATAATATTAATCTTTATCCTTGTATTATTCTCGAATGTATTGGTCTCAAGTCAACATGGAATCAGAGTTAACGAAATGGTAAATGTAGTGATTTATGAGAGTACATGCTTCATAGGTCTCACTTGTAGAAGAACAAGTTTACTGGAAACTCAGGTTTATTTGGATCTAAATTGCAAATCCTGGTGCGAAATTTAGTGGCTTTCTAAGTTCCAAGATATAGATACTGTTGTTTACCGTAAAAACGGATAACAATTAAATTTATATGTGGTTTTAAGGATATGTAGATTAATTCGATACAAATGATAAATGACGTTAGATTAAACAGATAAAAGATGTAATAAATTGTCAAACCAGTAAGGAGAGTGATCCCGGACTCAGTAATGTCTTAATGAAATGCCTGCCTTCGATCCCGGGCTCGCACCATTGAAGAACTGATGAACAAAAGTAAGAACTTTGAATAACAGAGAAAATAAGAGTATATTGCCTTGATATGCATGTTACAATGTGTCCCCATGAATAATAATCTTTCCCCTTTATATAGTAGGGGAGTTTTACCCTAACTACAATTCTAAAAAAGGTAAAAATCTTCTGTTTCGCCGATCACCGATACGAGCCGAGATTCGCGCTGTGATATCCGGTTAGGCATGGACGGCCCTTTGTTAGTCGTGCGCAGCTACTTGTTAATGTTCTCCGAAGTCTTCAATCTTCAGATCGGCCCTCGAGGATATTGCCCCGATATCCCTGAGGGCAGGTACCTTGTCCGAGCCCTAATATGAGGGGTTCTTCGTTCTAATTCCGATACAATACGGTCATGTTCCTGCTCCGATTGGCTTACCGGGAAGACGAGTCATGCAGCGGGCTTGGTTTTACCCGTATTGACTGCATACAAATCGGAGAAATGAACTCCTAGAGTATAACTCGCTCATAAAAAGTTCTTGTCATTTTGATAAGAAGCACTTATATTCACTGTTTCAGGCATCTTCCACTGTAGGTGCCAGTAGCTAATGGTATATCTTACTTGCAGTTAGTCAAAGACTCACAGGAGCGATAACTGCCCCAGGGCATTTGAAGGAATATTTGCTTATTCTATTTCTTGAAGTCATTGACCCAATTTTTGTTAGGTTTGGGGAAACAACTTCCTCAACAAAAAGAAGGAAGCCAGAACCAGTATCAGAAATGGGAAACAGGTTAATGAATTTGTATTTGGGAAACTGAGTTTAACCTTAGTTATATACTATAACTCCTTTATCTGATGGAAAACATTGACACAACAAAGAAGGCAACTCGCTATTTCAATTAAATTGCTGATTGGCTCAGTTGACTTGACACTGGGAAGTAGTTTAAAAATTAAAAGACATTAAATTTGAAAGAAATAGCTAATAAGAACTAATAAAATACAAAAGTGAACTGAAACTAACTAGTACCTTCAGTAATAAATCGTTTGAGCTGATCCAACGTTGGAGTAATAGCTGACATATGTTCCGTGTGGACCGTGCCTGGAAGTGTCTTATGGACACCGGCTAACGTTGGTTCGAAGGAACATAGGCGACAGTAATTAATTGCATATTCTTTGTCCAAAAAAGCTGCTATTTTATACCTATTGGTCTCGGAATCATACTCGTACAAATATTCATGATAATATTTCGGGCTACGATCTACTAAGAAAAGCACCTGTTTGCTGTCAATCCAGATTATATTGGGAAACCATAATTATAGCCATCCACACCCGTAATGAAGTTGTCCAAAGTGTGGGAAACTCTCCAATTGTTGCTTACATAATCATAAGTAGCAATGATTATAGATTTCTTGAAAACGCAAACAAGAGTAAGTAAACCTTGTGCCACCCCTAACCATGTAAAACCAGTATAAGATTTGTACCAGATGGGATCGTGATAATTGATGAACTCAGGAAGGTCAAGAATTGTAGCTTGGTCTCTCTTTGTATCGAAAGCAAGAACTCGACCATCATCTCTGAGCCAATGCAAGGAATCATTCACGTAAACGGGTTTACTACTGACAACCAAATAGCTGAAACTATTGCCCAAGTTGATCCCCAATTGGAATTCATGCCACACGCCAGATCGCTCCGATGAAAATGCATAAAATTTATACCCTTCTTGCTCAGCCTGCTTCCCGACTATTACCAATTTATAATGATTTGAAGTAGAATAATCAACAGCTAAGCCTGCATCACCAATTAAAAAAAAAATTCTTGGCTCTGGATGTCGTATCAATTGGTGCACTCCGGTTATAGGATTGAAAATAGAATAAATCCTAATTTTATTATCAAAATCAAGGAGAAGGAGTCGCTTGCATGAGGCCAAAACTGCAACGTTAAGGGGTAACACCGTTTAACAATGACTGGCTGGGATATGGTTTATGGAGATTTTGTGAAATTTTTAGATGATTTGTATGATGAATAGATGAGTCTTTTGCTGTTGGAACCAAGTTTGAGAAAATTTAGGATCAGAAATCTTACTATTGAAACTCTTGCTTAGAACTTTACATTGAATTGAAAGTTTCATAGGTAAGTGGGAAATGATCTCTACAACTAAATCATCATTCAGTTCCATACTCACAATAAGTATTAATTCCTTTGCTGCTCTGTTGTGAATACCTCAATAGCAGTTTCTCATGCCCTTGATTTCTTCTTTTCTTTTTCGTGTCTATAAGCAAGGACATAATATTTAATGTCAGTGTTTTGATTGGTGTTACAGTGTAGACCTTAGATGGACGATGACCAGGGAAATCTGTTGCTTTCCGCTTTTCGAGTTCCAAAAAGAAGATCCGTATGAACCATCAAATAACCATACAATTACGGATCAAGTCACTTAAAAAAGATAAAACAAATAATTACCTATATTACGTGAGAATAAATTACTTTGAAAATAAAGCAGATAACTTGCCATAACAAATTAAATTATACTGTCGTGTAATTTCCATTTATAGTTTTATACTGTTAGTATATATAAGTAAATCGTATTATCTTTAAGTTAATCGTACGTTCTGTCATACCTTTTTCTTAATTAGGGATAGTATATTCTTTTTCAAATTTCGTGTCTTATTTTATTATGTATATATCCATATTCATTTAATCTGTTTTTAAGTTTTTATTAAAAAAAATTCAAAACTTTAATGTACCATGAAATTTTTCTTGTTTATTGATGATAATTAACTATGTTCTAATTTGTGGAACTCATGGATTTTAAACTTAATGAAAGTTGAGTGAAAATAGCACGAGCTAGCCAATTTTCGAACTGGTAATTAAAAAAAATAGTCAGTGTTTGCAAAGTCATTGAAAATAGTCACTGTTTCGCTGAATCACGGAAAGTTCCAGCATAATATGCTGGATTATGGAACTTCTGCGTATAAACTTTATACGGAAAATAGTCACCGTTCCGCATGAACCATCAAATAACTACACAATTATAGATCAAGTCACATAAAAAGATTAAACAAATAATTACCTATATTAAGTGGAACAAGTTACTTGGATAAAAAAAACTCGCTATAACAAATTAAATTATATTGCTCCTGTAAAATTTTGTCATACTGTTATTACATATATTAATATACTGGTAGTATATATACTATGTTAATATATTGTTAGTATACGTAAGTTATACATTCTATCATACCTGTTTCTTAATTGGGGATAGTATATTTCTTTTTCAAATTTTATGTCTTAATTTACTATGTATATATTCTTAAATCTTAATTGAAGATAGTACTCATATTTTTTCAAATTTCGTGTCTTATTTATTATGTATATATATTTATTTAAAATTTGTTTTATAAGTTTTTATTAAAGATTTTTCAAAACTTTAATGTACCTTGAAAATTTTCTTGTTTATTGATGATACTTTTGTTAGGATCGAAATAATCAGGTTTATGCGAAAACTAGTAAAACAAACCTTGAACAACGATAAAGCAGACAACAAAAGAGAAATATTCCAAAAGAGACACAAACATTTAACGTGGTTCGCTCAATTGACCTACGTCCATGGCGGAGATAAGCAATTCACTATAAAAATAGAGAACAACCTTACGAAGAAGCAAACACAAGTGACACGCTAACACTTGTCCCGAAGAGTTCTACCCCTAAACACGACTCTCAAACCCCATATGGCTATATTGTGGATGCTATTGAATAAGAAGGAAGGGTCTTCAATTTATAGAAGTTCAAACATTTTCCTATAAGAAAAGGGACTAGCCAAATATGAGAGATTTATAATTTCCTTCTGCAAGAAGAAAAACTCAATTATGGTAATTATATTGCCATTTTCTTTCGAGAGATAGAAAAACCAAATATGGTAAGAAAATCCAGACAAGCACCTAATAATTCTCCCCCTTGGTCTGAATTTTCTGACAAAACAAATTTGATCCATCTTCTTCATATAATCTTCAACAAGTTGCATCTCCAAATCTCTGCCACAAAGTTTGTCTCAACGTGAGCAACACTCCGGTCAAATTTCTCAGACAAAAATCTCGATTACCATCAAATAGGTTGCGGCTAGAACTAAACCTGCTAAGATGAACCTGTCTTGAACCTCGCTCTGATACCACTGTTAGGATTGAAATAATCAGGTTCATGCGGAAGCTAGTAAAGCAAATCTTGAGCAACAATAAAGCAGACAATAAAAGAGAAATATTCCAAAAGGCACTCAAACATTTAACGCGGTTCGGTCAATTGACCTAGTCCACGGCGAAGATGAGCAATCCACTATAAAAGAAAGTACAAAATATCAAGAGAACAACCTCACGAAGAGGCAAATACAAGTGACATACTAACACTTGTCCCGAAGAGTTCTCCCCCTAAACACGACTCTCAAATTCTATATGGCTACATTGTGGATGCTACTGAATAAGAAGGAAGGATTTTCAATTTATAGAAGTCAAAATATTTTCCTATAAGAAAATGGACTAGCCAAATATGAGAGATTTATAATTTTCTTCTACAAGAAGAAAAACCCAATTATGGTAATTATATTGCCTTTTTTCTTCAAGAGATAGGTTAACCAAATATGGTAAGAAAATTAGGACAAACACCTAACAACTTTATCCTAATTGTTGGATTCATGGATTTTAAACTTAATGAAAAATGAAGAAGATACGACCATTGAATTGATATGGTAGATATCGGAATATCTATGCTTTTATTTCATTTTGTGATAAAAATCTCTTATGAGAGTCTCATCTTTTATTAAAGTCTCTTCTAAGAGTCTCATTATTTTATTAACCTTTACGAAACACATTTATAGAATGCTAGTGATTCGGCTGAAGTTTAGGAATAGGTTTTGGTTAAGCACATAAAGGATCAATTAAATCTGAAAGATCTAAAATCTAAAACTAAAATGCCTATGTCATGAGTAGGCATTAGATGTTGAGTTAGAAGTTTGCTAGCGGGAGGGGCTGCAGAAAATACTTACCTACACCAGGTTTATGAATTAAAAGAATAAGTGCATGACTTGCATATATTTTGTTGAATTTAGGAGGTGACAGCCATGGAAGCTTAGCTTCTTAGAGGAAGAAATGAAGGAGAGGAGAGAGAGAGAGAGAGAGAGAGAGAGAGAGAGAGAGAGAGAGAGAGAGAGAGAGAGAGAGAGAGAGAGAGAGAGAATGCAGTAACCGACTTTACTGTTGTATTGAAAAGTTATAAATGAAATATGTACATAGCCCCTTATATATAATACTCACTAACTATCCTAACTAATTACAGTTGTACTACTCACTTACTAAATAACTATAATTTGTTATCTCCTAACTAATTAACCACCACATGTGCTCTTCACGTGCTAAGTTATTCCTTTCTTAATACTCCCCCTCAAGGTGGTAGGTGCATACACATTGAGCACTCCCAGCTTATACATCAAATGCTCATGTTGTGACCTTGCCAATCGTTTCGTTAGTACGTCAGCCAATTGGTCATTGGAGCATATGTGCATTGTTTTAACCATCCCCATTTGAATTTTCTCCTTTATGAAATGACAGTCTATTTCAATATGCTTTGTTCTCTCATGATAAACTGGATTTGCTGCTATCTGCAAAGCAAATTTGCTATCACAGTATAAGGCAACAGACAACTCTACTTCTGCACCAAGCTCCTTGAGCAAACCTGTCAGCCACACCAGCTCTGTTATCACTGAAGCCATGCTTCTATATTCTGCTTCAGCTGAGCTTCTAGACATTGTACTCTGTTTCTTTGACTTCCAGGATATTAGTGAGTCCCCATGCTTAATGATGAACCCTCTCATTGATCTTCTAATACTTGGACATAAAGCCCAATCTGCATCATAAAATGCAGTTAGAGTATTCTTCTTACTGCTGCTCATCATAATCCCAAGACCTGGTTCCCTTTTCACATATCTCACTACCTTGATTGCTGCTTCCCAATGTGATTTCTTAGGGCTGTGCATGAACTGGCTAAGTGTTTGAACAGCAAAAGCAATATCCAACCTTGTCAAGGTCAAATACAAAAGCTTTCCCACTAGCTTCTGATATCTTTCCCTGTTAGTCAATGGTTCATCATCTTCTACTCCTGTATGATCATCAAACTCCTTTGTTGTAAATTTCTGATTATAATCCAAAGGGGTCCACCTTGGTTTTGCAGCACTCAAACCCAAGTCAGATATTAATTCTAAACTATACTTCCTCTGATTCATTAGTATCCCTTTGTATGATCTGCAGAATTCAATACCTAGAAAGTGTTTCAACTCTCCCAGGTCTTTGATTTTGAAAGACTGATGCAGTCTCTCTTTAGTTTCCTCCATTAACTTCAAATCATTGCCAGTTATGAGCATATCATCTACATATATAAGTATGATCACTATGCTGGTTCCTTGCCTTCTTGTGAACAAAGAATAGTCAAAATGGCTTTGCACAAACCCCTGAAGAACCAGTGAGTTTAACATTCCATTGTCTGTGTCACGACCCAAAATCTCACCACATGTGTCATGATGGCACCTAGTCTCTAAGACTAGCTAAGCCAATTTCAATTACCTTTTGAAGCCATTTTTGTTTTTTGAAACTAACAGCGGAAATAATTACAATACACAACCTCCCAAGACTGGTAGTACTGAGTCACAAACTCTAACTGAAAACATAAAATGATCACAAGGACCGAATATACTATACTGTTTGATTACAAGTTAACAGTACAATGAAATGAAAAGACTCCAAGGGACTGCGATAACCAAACAGCTCTACCTTGAATCCTTACGATCCCGCTTTAACTCTGCTCAAGTCCGTTATCTCCAATACCTGGCTCTGCACAAAAATATACAGAAGTGTAATATGAGTACACCACGGTCGGTACCCAGTAAGTATCAAGACCAACCTCAATGGAGTAGAGACGAGATACAGTCAAGACACTCACTAGTTTAATAACCTGTGCAATATAATATACAAAATAAGAAGAAACAAATAACATCAAGGAAACATAAAACAACCAATGATATGCACGGTAAGACAATAAGATCACAATTTAATATCGCTCAACAATTAATAAATACAATTACACCCAGTTAAAAATCAAGTTCTTCAATTAAATATCCTTTACATATATTTCTACCAATTAACTTTCTTTCAAATATAATTTTTCTCAAATAAATATCTTTCAAATACAATTCTTTCATATAATACTTTCTAAATAAAAATCTTTCCAAATAAATATTTTGAATATAATGCTTCAATTAAGAAGTCACCATGTGGCACCTCATTTCATAATCATAAAACTACGGGTCTCAGCCCATTTTCATATTTTTCATAAATAAGGATCTCAGCCCATTTTTCATATCTCCACGGCACTTCGTGCCCATAATTAAATCGTCATAATTTTTCTGCACCTCGTGTCCTCATTTTATATCTCAACTGTACGGATAACTCACGTGCCAATATCCTCAATGTATATAAGATCTACATTATCAATTTATTTTTCAATAAAATAAGGTTAAAATCTTTAAATCAAGTAAGAAATCAATAAATGAATGAATTTATTTTAGAATCATTTGGGTGGAGAAATAACATTTTAATTAAAATGAAACATCAGATAAACTACTGATTTGGATATAAAATTTATTAAATTAAAACATACTAGAATTTTTCTTTTATTTAAAACAACTCTATCGTCAAAAACAAGTACAACCCAAAAATACAAATCCTCAAAGTCTCGTACGAAAAAGTTGAGGTCAACACAACACATCAAGAAATACAAAACACTTAATATTAAGTGAAATAATACATCACGAAAAACACAAGAATTTACAAATTTCGGAAAAATAAAATAACCAAAGGCAAGTGCAGCCATAGAGAAATATCAACAAAAGGGCACTCCCGAGGTACCGCTTCGTAGTCCCAAATCATAAATAAATTTACAATATCTCATTTCTTTATATCACATCGGGAGCCTTCACATTTAATTTTAAAGAAATTATTTTTTCCGAAATAGCATCCCGTGTTTTTAGCCATCTTTATCACACCGCATGAATTCTAGTAGTTCCCCCACTAGCCACGCGTTTCAAGCCACCCTTATCTCATCGCATACATTTCAACACCCTGACCTTATATCACCGCATGACTTCTAGTAGTTTTCCTACTAGCCACGCGTTTCAAGCCACCCTTATCTCACCGCATGCGTATCAATATTTCACAAATCGCACCTCAAGTACCCAAATATTACAACATTTCATAAATTACACATCAAGTGTTCAAATCTTATAATATATCACAGATTGCACATCAAGTGCTCAAATCTTACAACATATCACAGATTGCACATCAAGTGCTCCAATCTTACAAAATATCACAACTTGCACATCAAGTGCTCAAATCTTACAACATATCATAAATTGCACATCAAGTGCCCAAATATTACAACTTGCCACAGAAATCAACAATACAATATTTTCCACAATAAGGAGCTCATGACTCGACCATAATGTGCACAACACCCAAAATCAATTAATAGAGATAGAAACTACTCAACATAAAGCAAAGTCTTCATTAAATTCAAATTTTTAATAATTATATAAACACCTCTTCTTAAGCTCATTTAATTAATTATTTGCAGAGGGAAAATCCATAATGAAATTAAATTACAATAATTATCAAACCAACAAATTCATGGAATTACATAAATAATCAAGCAACAATCACATCAAATTGTCATATAACAGCAGATTCAACAACAACAAAGATTTAGGCATGGCAAACAGATGATTTAATACTTATCCACGATTACCCAATTTACTACACAATAATACCTAAGACTTTAATCCAATAAAGATTTGCACATATAAGCCCGAGTACGTACTCGTCACTTCGCATACACGACTTTTCACATTTCACAAATGGCATATAAGACTCGATGCCTAAGGGGTAATTTCCCCACTCGAGGTTAAGCAAAACACTTACCTCTTTGAAGTTATGCCGATATTCCAAATTCGCCTTCTTGCTTGAATTGACCTCCGGACAGCTCAAATCTATCCAAATTAATTGTGTAACTTCATTAAAATTCATCGAAAATAATTTCGGATAATAATACGTCGACTTAAAAATTTATTCCAAAAAGTCAACAAAAGTCAAAGCGGGACCCGCCCCTCGGAACCCGATATAATTTTTATGAAACCCGAATACCCATTCCGATACGAGTTCAACCATACCAATTTTATTGAATTCCAATAACAACTCGACCTCCAAATCTTAAATTTTCGTTTTTGGAAGATTTTGAAAAATCTTGATTTCTTCCATTTAAATCCGAACTAAATGATGAATATAATCATAGATTCATGAAATATAATCACTTTAGGATATAGAACACTTACCCCAACCAAGCTTGTGAAAAATACCTCTCGAATCGCCCAAATTCCAGCTCTAAAAATTCCAAAACGAAATGCCAAAAATGGCCATTTTTGGTCCTTATGATTCTACCCAGTTTCGCACATGCGGACTAATTTTCGCACTTGCATGCTCGCTTTTGCGAGCGAATACACGCTTCTGCGAGGTCACTGCCCAGCCACAAAGCTCGCACCTGTGGAGTCATTTCCGCTTCTGCGCTGATCGCAGGTGCACAGCATTTCCGCTTCTGCGTTGCCTCGTCGCTTCTGCTTAGCAAATATCGCACCTGCGATTGCACAGGCGTGGAAGGCTGTCCGTGTCTACGACCTTCCTCCAGCTCTGCCCAGCTTGCTTGTGTGACGAAATCCTCGCTTCTGCGAGGTCGCACATGCGCCCAAAATTCTGCAGGTGCGAATCCAGCAGCTGCTGCCATTTTCCAGCAGCTTCTTCCAAGTCCGAATTGCTCCGTTAACCTTCCGAAATTCACCCGAGGCCCCCAGGACCTCAACCAATTATAACAACATGTCCAAAAGTACAATACGAACTTAGTCGAGGCTTCAAACCATATCAAACAACGCCGAAATTAAAAATTATGCATCAAATCGAATTAGAAGTTTTCAAATCCTCCAACTTTCATATTTTGCGCTGAAACATATCAAATCAATCCGGAATGACTTTAAATTTTGCACACAAGTCATAATTGACGTAAGGGGGCTATTCCCATTTTCGGAATCGAAATCCGACCTCGTTATCAAAATTCACCCTTCGGTCGGACTTTTCCAAAATCTTATATTTTCCAACTTTCGCCAAAATGTGTCGAATTGTCCCACGGACTTCCAAATCCAAATCCGAATATATGCCTAATTCTGAAATCATCATACGAAGCTATTGCCATCATTGCAATTTTATTTCAGGGTCGTTTGCTCAAAAGTCAACTCTCCGGTCAACTCTTTTCATTTAAACTTCTAAATAAGAATTGTTCTTTTAATTAAATTCCGAAAATCAAACTCGACCACACCCACAGGTCATAATACATATTACGAAACTTCTCGAGACCTTAAGCCACTGAACGGGCGTAATTTCTTAAAACGACAAGTCGGGTCGTTACATTCTCCACCTCTTAAACAAACGTTCGTCCTCGAACGTGGTAAGAATTATTCTGCGATTACCAAATTGATGATTTTACTTTTACACATATACTCACGGTTGATTCCATGCTACCGCATTTGAGATAAGCGTGCCAACATCATCTCATTTGAGTTTATTTCTTTTATCCATATTTGTGAGCTTTAAGATCAATTTCTTACACTCCAAACATTTTAAAAGGTCTAATTTTTTTACAACAACGCACGATATTAGTCTCAACTGGCTATAGCAACTCATGCCTACGCACACATCAATTTTTTTTTATAGTGTTGAAGTACTTCAAAAATATTTCTAGGGTGTTACATTCTCTCCCGCTTAGGATCATTCGCCCTCAAACACATAACATAACTTATCTCTTCCTTTGCAAATCTCAATCATCCAAATTTTTCTAACTCACAAATTTTTCAGAAATTTCGGCAGAGTCTCCCCTGTAATTGGGTCTATCCACCTACCAGAGTAACACCAAAATAACTCCTAACAACACATGCACAACCCAACACAATACCACAAGGTATATATCAATAACGCCAATCTCAGCATTACAAGCACTGCATTATCATAATGATATCAGGACATGAAACACATCATATGTATGCTCATCACCACATCTCTGGCCTTAAAAGCTGTTCATAATTAATTCCAGCATCATCAATTAATCTCATATTAACCGCCACCTCATTTCATATTTTCACAACATTTACAACAGAATGTGAGGCATGAAGACCTCATGATTGCTTACTCGGATTAATGAGTCACATTTAACGCCACCTGGGCACTCATCTCATAGGTTAAAACTCAATGTTTACAGCACCAAAATGGCTGAATATGCACAGAAAAATATACAAGAATTATCAAATAAGCCTAACAGGCATGACTCCCTATTAATACTATTGTACAATTAAATTTCACAAAGGAAAAATTTTAAACTCATAAATATTTCACCACAAGGACTTCGTCCTTACATTACTTCCATCGCGGCTTCCAGCCCGGTTTAAATATTTCACATCATGTAAAAATGCGAGGATCTCGTCCTCAACTCCGAATCACAAGTATGTTGCACATTGTGCCAATTAAAATTTTCAATTTTCTTTCTTTCTTCTTTTCAATATATTTCATAAATAATTTTCGCAACATATAATGAACCCTCTTACCGGTAGGGCATATAATTCATAAAAAAATTGGAATCAATTATTCCGAAACACATTAAACCCGCTGTAATGAATAATAAAAATTACTTTTGGGCTTATAGCCCTCAATGGTGTACCAAAAATAATATGACAGACACGGCTTTATATCTTTAAATCTCCCAACAGGGATAACCATAAAAGTGGGACACAAATTTACGAAGCTCACCCATAAGTGGAGCATAATAGGAGGACTCACCTTAATATTCAGAACCGAATAAAATTAAGGAAAATTATCCTTTATAATAAAAATCAGGATCGTACCTGTAACGACATCATCTGGTGTATTGGCCCCAGCCAAATCATAGTGATTATATCAATGGGTCGGGCCTCCACTTCTTAGGCGCCCACTACCCGCCTGTCCTCCACCTCTAGCTGATTGTGCACGTGGAGTATCAGCTAGAATAAAGCTTGTAGCTGGAGTGTTCTGATGAAATCCACCACTCCCAAGTCTGGGACAATCTCTCATTTTATGCCTAGTATCACCACACTCATAACGACCCCTCTAAGGTCGCGACTGCTCGTACTGAGTCTATGCCGGATAACTGGAATAACCACTGTAAGAATCTCGTGTTGGTGGTGCACTATAAAGTTGAGCACCCCGAGTAATCTGATGTACGGACTGAGCTGGCCGACTGCACGAGCCTCCGCTATAATGGGTTCTAGCTGAAGAGTAAAATCCACTGAATCCTCCAGATCTTCGAGACCTTTTAGCCTCCTTAGACTCCCTTTCCTCGCCTAAAACACCCTCAATCTTCCTTGCAATCTCCACTACTTTTTGAAATGGAGCATCAGTTTGCAACTCTCTAGACATGCATATTTTTATATCATAATCGAGCCCCTCAATGAATCTGCGGACCCGTTCTCTGATTGTAGGAACTAAGATAGGTGCATGACGGGCTAACTCACTGAACCTAATAGCATATTCCGACACTGTCATAGTGCCCTGACGCAACCTTCAAACTCTGTGTGCCACGCATCTCGGAGAGTCTGGGGAATAAGCTCTTTCAAGAACATTTCCGAAAATTGAGTCCAAGTTGGTGGGGTTGCATCGGCTGGTCTACTTTCTTCATAGATTTGCCACCACCGATACGCTGCGCATGATAGTTGAAATGTAGTAAAGGCAACTCCGCTCGCCTCCACAATACCCATGGTGCGGAGAATACGGTGACAATTTTCTAGAAATTCTTGGGCATCCTCTGTAGCTGTGCCACTGAAAGTAGATGGACTATACCTCTTAAAACTTTCAAGTCTCTTTTGTTCTTCTTCTGATGCTTCTGGCCTAACCTCGGGCCGAACCGAAATAACAGGTTGTACTGGTAATACACCCAGAACCTGACCAACGTGAACCTGCTTCTATGGAGTTGTGGTAGGAGTCTGAGCTACCCCCCCAATCTGCGGAATGTTTGGTGTAACAGAGATCAATCCCGCCTAAGTTAATGTACCGAACATACTCAGGAACTGTGCTAAAGTCTCCTGAAGTTCGGGGGTAACAACAAGTGCTTTTGGTACCTGTCCCTCAACTGGAGCTACTGGTGGCTCCTCAACTGTTGTTCTGACAGGTAATTTAGTCACAGCACGTGCCCTTTCTCGGCCTCTACCTCGGCCCCGGCCTCTTGCAGCCCTAGCAGTATGTGGGGATGCCTGCTCAGCTAACCTGGTAGCACGTGTCCTCACCATCTGTGAGAGAATAGAGATACAAAGGCTCAAATTCTACAATCAACAAATCCGCAAGACAGGAATGAAAGAAGTGGAAATTTTCTAACAGTTCTGTAGCCTATCGAATATAAGTACAGATGTCTCTGTACCGATCCGCAAGACTCTACTAGACTCGTTCGTGACTCGTAGAACATATGAACCTAGTGCTTTGATACCAACTTGTCACGACCCAAAATCCCACCACAGGCGTCGTGATGGCACCTAGTCTCTAAGACTAGGTAAGCCGATTTCAATTACCTTTTGAAGATATTTTTTTTTTGTAACTAACAGCGGAAATAATTACAATACACAACCTCCCAAGACTGGTAGTACCGAGTCACGAACTCTAACTAAAAACATAGAATGATCACGAGGACCGAATATACAATACTGTTTGATTACAAGTTAACAGTACAATGAAATGAAAAGACTCCAAGGGACTGCGACAACCAAGCAGCTCTATCTTGAATCCTTACGATCCCGCTTTAACTCTGCTCAAGTCCGTTATCTCCAATACCTGGCTCTGCACAAAAATGTGCAGAAGTGTAATATGAGTACACCACGGTCGGTACCCAATAGTATCAAGACTAACCTCAATGGAGTAGAGACGAGGTACAGTCAATACACTCACTAGTTTAATAACCTGTGCAATATAATATACAAAATAAGAGGAAACAAATAACATCAAGGCAACATAAAACAACCAATGATATGCACGGTAAGACAATAAGATCACCATTTAATATCGCTCAATAATTAATAAATACAATTACACCCAGTTGAATCAAGTTCTTCAATTAAATATCTTTCACATATATTTCTACCAATTAACTTTCTTTCAAATATAATTTTTCTCAAATAAATATCTTTCAAATACAATTCTTTCATATAATACTTTCTAAATAAAAATCCTTCCAAATAAATATTTTGAATATAACGCTTCAATTAAGAAGTCACCATGTGACACCTCATTTCATAATCATAAAAATACGGGTCTCAACCCATTTTCATCCTTTTCATAAACACGGATCTCGAATATTTTTTATATCTCCACGGCACTTCGTGCCCATAATTAAATCATTATATTTTTTCGGCACCTCGTGCCCTCATTTCATATCTCAACTGCACGGACAACTCACGTGCCAATATCCTCAATGTATATAAGATTCACATGATCAATTTATTTTTCAAAAAAATAAGGTTAAAATCTTTAAACCAAGTAAGAAATCAATAAATGAATGAATTTATTTTAGAATCATTTGGGTGGAGAAATAACATGTCAATTAAAATGAAACATCAGATAAACTACTGATTTGGATATAAAACTTATTAAATTAAAACATACTAGAATTTTTCTTTTATTTAAAACAACTTAATCGTCAAAAATAAGTACAACCCAAAAATA